GAAACTGCATATTCTTTTATAACTCAGCTCTTATTGAGATACAGAACATTACCAATACATTCAGAATTCTCCTCATCCTCTAAGTTCTTCCCAATGGCTGCCTCTACTTTCTCATTCCAAGAAGTCACCATTTTTCTGATTTTTTTTCTCCCTACAGATTAGTTTTGCCTATTCTAGAACTTCATGCAAATGAGATCATGTCACACAGAATAGTGTTTCTGAGCTCCATGTCCGTCGTTGCATGTAGATATAGCTCATTCCCCGTGATTGCTGAGCAGGAGCCCATTGTGCCATTTTGCATTTCCACGATCATATTTATGGACATCTGGGCTAGTCCTAATGTTTGGCTGTCATAAGTAAAAGTGCTAGGAATATTTCTGTGGAAGTCTTTTTGTGGAAATCTGTTTTCCTTTCTCTTAGATAAATATATAGGGATGGAATTGCTGGGCAGGAGAGTGGGTGTACATTCAGATTTAAAAGAAACTGCAGGTATTTGTCTAACACGGTTGTTTCATTTGATGCTCCCACCAAAGAGTATAAGACTGCATTCATTTCTCTCCAGCATTTAGTCACGTCAGTCAGCTGTGGGCACAGAGTGGCATCTCAGTGCAGTTTTAACTTGCGTTTTCCTGATGATTGAATATGTCCATTTACATGGTATTGGTGTTGTCTGTTCAAAGCCTTTGCCTAGGCTTTCATTGGGCAATTTATCTTTTGGCTCTTGAGTGGAAATGACCTATCCAATATGGTTGGTGAATATCTTCTCATAGTCTGTGGCTTTCCCATTACTATTTTAATGGCATTTTTGGATGGAGATATGTTTCCAGTTTTCAAGATTGCCAGATTATCAATACTTTTTGTTTCTTTCATGGTCACTATGTTTGTGCATATCTGACAAGTGTTTAGCTACCTCAACTTACAGAGACATTTTCTTATGTTTACTTTTATGGTTTAAATTTCCACATTTAGAACGACTATACATCTCAAAATATTTTTGCCCTATGGCATGTATTTGCAGCAGACGTGTGGACTCTCTTAGTTTGTTTTTCTAATATTTTTATCAACTCTTTGCCTGCACCACGTAGTCTGGATTATTACAGCTGTGTTTTTAGCCTGAATGCAGGTGGTGTAACAGATCTTTTTCAAGAATTGTTGTTTTTTAATATCCGAAGTCCCTTTCATTTTCATATAAATTTTAAAATCAGTTTGTTAATTTTTATTACAAAACTCAATGACCTTTTTGGCATTTCATCACTTCCGTAGATCAAGTGAGGAGAGCTCAGAGATGAACAATATAGAATTTTTCCATTAATTAATATAGGATATCTTTTCTTTTTTATATTTTTAATTTTTAAACACTATATTTGTAATGTTTGTTGTAAGGAATTGTGCTAAATCTATTCCTGAATAATTTTTGCATTATTGTTAATGACATTATTTCCTTTTTTTCCAATATGTAAACATATAACTGATTTTATATATTAGCCCTATATATTTGACCTCTATAAATTATTTTATTTTAATAGCTGTTTTATAGTTTACTTATGATTTTCTTTTAAACAGCCTGATTATATGGCCACAGAAAAGATTTTAGTCTTATGCTTTTAATTTTTTTCTTGCCTTAATGTTAGGCTAACCGCAAGGTTAGCAGTTCGAAACCCCAGCTGCTCTATGGGAGGAAGATGGAGCCTTCTACTCCCACAACGAACCACCATCTCAGAAGTTCACAGGGGCAGTTCTACCCTGTCCTACAGGGTTACTATGAGTTGGCTTCGACTTGATGGCACAGTAAAAAGATATACAAATTGTTCTGAAGAATTTAGACAGTCCACAAAGGCAAGACAATACAATAAATAACATATGTATATATAAACTTAAAAAAGTTCATGGAAAATTCTGTTATCTTTAATTCCATTTTTCCAGAAACTTGTGGAAGGCAGCTCCCCCCCCTCCGCGCGCGTGTGTGCATGTGTAAAGAAAACTCTGAAGGAGATGGATTCACGCAGTGGCTTGACCAATGGCTCACAGGACTGGTAGCTTTTCGTTCTGTTGACCATAGGTCACTCTGAGTGGTCATGACGCAACAACACCTAGCAACAACAAAAATCTGCCAACGCATCTTATTTTGTGTATGCGATTCAGTGACATTAATTATTTTTATCATGTGATGCATCCATCACCACTATTTGATTCCAACATTTTCATCACTCTTAACGGACACTCACATGGGCCAGAGGAAATGATTCTTTCCTCCTCCATTCTTCCTCTCATAACACCGAATAGACTTTGCCTTCCGTAGATCTTCCATATAAGTGGGATAACACAATATTTTCCCTTTTATGACTCTTTTTCCCCCCTCAACATAATGTTTTCAAGGTTCATCTATGTTGTAGCATGTATTAGGTAGGATTTCATTTCTCTTAAGGGCTTATTTCCTTGTTCTACATTCTTTTCATCCATCCATCTGTTGATTGATACATAGGTTGTTTCTGTGTTTTGCTACTGTGCCTATTGCTGCAATGGTCTCCTTACATTACTGCTTTCAGTGGGTTTGCGTCACATGGTAATTCTGCATTTAACTTTTTGAGTAATCAATACACTTTTCCCATAGTAGCTATACTATTTTTTATTTGTTTGGTTTTGATCTCTTTCTAATATACTATTAAGAGAGTGTTTCCCAAAGGGGGAGGGAGTGGAATGATTGAGAAGGACTGCATTATTGACTATAGGACAAAAGTTTTCATTGTCAGGGGCCACTGAATAATTTCTTTCTGAAAAGGGCTAGGCCTAATAAGTTTGGAAACTTATGCTACAAAACTGTGATATGTATTTTTTTAACTGAAATTATTTATGCCTATTTTCATTTCAACTTTTACAAATAGAAATTTCAATTACCTGAAAACGCATTCATTCACAAAGCAAAATTAGGATTGCTTTCAATACTCAAATTTAATGCTACATTTAATATTCATCTTAAAATCATTCATACTTAATGCTATTATTAATTCTATCTTTGATTTCACTACCTTATAACAATTTATCCTTTTGTGGAAAATAAACTTATGGGATAGGATATGTTTTAGCGGAATACAAATTTAATTAATTTTACAGCTAATGTATCCTTACTAGAAATAGCAGGATTTTTGTAGTAGCTTCAGTAACAAATGACATTGTTTATTAGGTATCTCCATTTGTGATAAAATAAAATTATCTTAAGTGTTTAATGAGCTTTATCCCTTGGTTTGTTTTAAAAATAATTTTTATTCAATTTTGCAACATGCAGGTACTTTTACTGCTACCCCTTTTGACTAAAATATATTGGAAACATTTCCATTTTAAATCTTAAAACTGCTCAGCATGTTCTTATTCAATGAAAATAATCATTAAACTTTAGCAATGGAGACAAGAGATGACGATACGAATTGTAAGATTTCTGTAGATAAGATTGAATCACTATTTGTTAGTGGAATCACCTATTTATTTTTCTTCTACTATGTTTATCCAGGTGGGGTAAAACCTTGCGCATTAAACTGCTTGGCTGAAGGTTACAATTTCTACACGGAACGTGCTCCTGCGGTGATTGACGGGACTCGGTGCAATACGGACTCCCTGGATATCTGTATCAATGGAGAATGCAAGGTTGCTCGGATTGTGCACTTCTCTCATTTTTGTTGATGTCTTGAGACTTTGTCTTTTTCTGAGACAGCAGATCCTAATTCATACCATATTTGGTTTTAAGGAAGAGAGTCCGTTGTAGAGAAATCTCATTTTCTAGTAAGGATGACAATGTATGTTGTTCAAGGTAGAAATTGCCCGTTCATATTCTAGTGTCATGTTACAAATTTATCTGGGTCTTTGATTGTGTATGCAGTGGTTGTGAGAGTTTTGAAAATATTTTGGACTTAAACGTCTGTTCTTCTTTTGTTCTGTTTACAAATAAGTTGACAGAAAAAAAGAGAAAGCAGGGATTCAACTCTTATTCATATGGGTACCATATGCTTTCTTTGGAAGATTATTTGACTTATTTCAAGGCATAATTTTCATAAAAGTGTGAAACAGCTATGCTCTTCCTATTTTGTCTCATTTTCAAGCAGTTATAATGGTTTTAATTATAAAGTTAGTCTTTACCTTATTGAAACATTTGCTTTAGAGAATGAGCCAGACTAGCTGGGAAATGTCAAAGCTATCCTTGCCATTTTCTCAGACTTGTGTGTGAATCTTATCATAATCAGAAAAGGCGGTAGGTAAGCACAAAGTCCAGTGTTTTCACAAGTTCATGTTTGTTTGTCTTTCACTTTAAAGAGAAACACAAAACATCCCTAAAAATTGGGAAAGAACAAATAAAAACATTGTCTACTTAAGCCTTATGAGTTTCTTGCAAGAGTTTCTGTCCTTCTGGTTATTTCTCTCCACATTTATCTAATGATCCAGTTTTTGTAGATTTGCTTTATTTCTTTGAATGAGACAGTTATTTCTGTGGCCATGTCCAATCTTATTCAGATAACATAGACCGAGATAGAGATTTAATTCATACACTATCTGCTTTATATTAATAGCAAGGGGTCAAATGTGCAGTTGCAAAGTACCGAAATGTTCATATAATCTATACTTATAGCCCACAGTTATAGGATGGTATGCAAAACTGGGGGTGGTGTATCAGTTTCGTAAATCCCAGGCTCCTGTCTCCTATCTCTTTTATGATAACCCTGCAAAGGACTTCCACATCTGAAACCTGTCTCATTTTTACTTAGTCCTTGCATTTCTTGATGGAGGCATAAGTAAGAATCTGTTGCTAACAAATTCCACTAATTATGAGTTGAAGCACGATACCTGTAAATGAAGAACTCAATGAGAGATGTTGGCAGACATTCCGGAGGGGTTGGAGTTTCTTTTTTCTTAAACTTATGTGTTGAGACCTATTAACTAGGACTTACAAGAGAGCTGAAAGTAAGGAAAAAAGAAAAAAAATTGGTTTCGATTTCCTTTACTGGGAAAATAAATAAATAAATAAGTGACATTTATTTGATTCGCTATGGTTTCGAGCCTTCTTCCTATTTTCGACACCCTGAATATTCTTCTCTGTTTTCAGCATGTAGGCTGTGATAATATTTTGGGATCTGATGCTAGGGAAGATAGATGTCGAGTCTGTGGAGGGGACGGAAGCGCATGCGACGCCATTGAAGGCTTCTTCAATGATTCCTTGCCCAGAGGAGGTGAGTGCGTAGAGAGAACTCTTCCTCACACCTCTGGTGTACTTGGATTAGCCAAAATCGGAATTTTCCAAACTTATTTTAAATTGTCTTTATGTAGACAGACAAGCTTATGTTTTTCCCAAATTGCTGCTAGTCCTGTCGAGTGCTAAATGTGGCTTTATGTCAGATATTTTAAGGAAATAGTGTTTCCTCTCAGCTTAATTTCATTTAGCCACATATCTTTTTGGTATTCATTCTCACAGAGCACTGATGGGAGGGTCCTGTGTGGAGGAAAAACCCAAAACCCACCCAACCAATATGGCACACGCGGGGCTTTAAAGCTCTTGAGATAACTTTAGAGAAACACAAGAGTACTCTAGACGTAGTCCTGAAACCCAAAAGGGGCTTTACCTGTATTTCCTGGTTTACCAAATATAAAGTCACTGGAAGATTGGAAGGCTAAGAAAATGGTTATAACTGACGGGTTACTAAGTCTTTGTTTTCTGGCCAAACGTGTAGATGCTGATTATTACTGGTTATCTTCTGTGTTCCAGGCTACATGGAAGTAGTGCTGATTCCAAGAGGCTCTGTTCACATTGAAGTCAGAGAAGCTGCCATGTCAAAGAACTATATTGGTAAGTAGCATATTTTGCTGGGCTTTAAAATTTAATGAGGAGAAGCAGCAGAGTTTAATGAAAGAAAAGGCATACTACTTTGAGGTGGAATATTTTAGGCTAAAATGAAGAAAGTGCCAAGTTTAGGAACACATGTAAATGCTAAAAGGAAGTTGATGGTTTACAGCTTAAACTTCACTGTGATAGTTATTTTATTACATTAATTTAATTAGGATATAATATACATATAATTAATATATCCACTAGTGGTCTATAATTCAATAATAATTGATCATTAAATTTATACACATATACACCACAATTAAGATATAGGATAGTTCTTTGACACCAAAAATTCTCTCATTTTTTCCTGAGGTCAAATCCCTTGGCCTTCAGCAAACACTGGAATTTCTTGGACTTTCTTGGAATTTGATATAAATGGAATCATACTATATATGCTTTTTATTTCTCAGTTTTATTGCTCACTATAAGGTTTTGAGATTTATTTGTTGAGTATAGCCAAAGTTCATTTATTTTAATTTCTGAAGAACATTCCATTGTATGGATAAACCACAATTTGTTCATCCATTTACCTGTTGACGGATATTTGGGTCATTTCCGGTCTTTGACTACTGCCAATAAAACCACTTTCATTTATAAAAAAGCCTCTATGTGAACATAGATTTCATTTCACTTGGGTTGAATCCTGGACTAGGAAAGGCTAATTTATATGAAAAACACCTATTTCATTTTGTAAGAAATTTCCCAAAGCAGGCGTAACACTGTTTATTCTCATCTGTGATGCAGAACTACATCTTGTTGACACAGTACTGTTAGTCTTTTAGATTTTACCCATAGAGATATTGTTTATGAAAAGTATCAAAGCAAATATTTTGTCTATTAAATTTTCACAAGTTGGATTGTTAGGGTTCTTGATGTATTCTGGTACAAGTAGTTAGCAAAAATTTGTTTCTAAAGAGCTTCCCCCAGTTTGTATCTGCTTTCCCTACTTTTTGTCTTCCAATTTGGGGGAAATTTACCATTTTTATTTCATACTTACTAGTAAGAGTGCAAAGATTGTCGTTAATGCTGCTTCCTGAAGTTTTATTCTCTTAACTTTTACATTTGGCTATATAGCTAGTTTTGAGTTAATTTTTTTTTATAAGGGAGGAGCCTTGATCATGTAGTGGTTATGAGTTGGGCTGCTAATCACAAGGTTGGCAATTCAACCTCACCAGCAGCTCCTCAGGAGAAAGATGAGGCTTTCTACTCCCATACAGATTTATAGTCTTGGAAACCTACAGGGGCAGTTCTACTCTGTTCTGTAACCTCACTATGAGTTGGAATTGACTCGTTGGCAGGTTTTTGTTTGTTTGTTTCTTTGTTTTCTTAATTGAGGTATTAGGTAAGGAGCCCTGGTAGCATTATGGATTAGGTGTTGGCTGCTAATGCAACGTTGGTAGTTCAAACTCACCAGACACTCTGAGGGAAAACGATAAGGCTCTGGTAAAGATTAACAGGGTTGTAAACCCTATTTAGGATTGCTATGAGTTGGAATTTACTCAATTGCAGTGGATTTGGTTTTTGGTTTAAAGTATAAAATAAGAGTTGTGGTTTAATATTTTATATGTAAATATTCAATGCCTCTAAGCATATATATAGGAAGTCCTGGTGGCATGGGGGCTTATGACTTGGACTGCTTACTACAAGGTGAGCAGTTCAAATCCATCAGTTGCTTCCTGGAAGAAAGATGAGACGTTCTGCTGCAGTAAAGACGTACAGTCTTGGAAACCCAAAGGCTCACACTGAGTTGGAATAGACTCAGTGGCAGTGAGTTATAGCACCATGTTGTAAAAGTTGTAGCAAAAATGGTGTGGGGCATCATCTGACCTCTGACTTCACAAGGGGGAGGGAGAATCAAACTCAACATCAGCCCAAGACTGATTCCTATGTGATTCCTTTTTAACCACCTCTGCCACCAACCGGCCTTCCCAAGGCACTTTCTGCTTCCCTCCTGGGTTAGATAATCCATTGCAGTGACCACACAGAACTCACAGACAGTACTGAAAATCATGGGATTTATTAGGGAAGTTAGCAGGCTACATTTCGGGGTCAGAAATGCTCATGATATAGTTCTTCTGGTCAGAAGCACATCGTCTCAGCAGTGCCACAGCTGTGCTTCTCTCTCATCCTGGGTCTCTTAAACCAGCGACCCCTTGGCCTCTGCCCTCAAGTGTTACAAAGCTCCTTTAGTGATGCTGCTAACTGCCCAGAGGGCACTCCACTCTTCCCTGAAAGTCAGCCCAAAGGCACTCAGCTCTAGCTTCAAAGGCAGCAAACCTAGCTCCCCGAATAAGTGTCCAAAGGCAACCCACTCTGCAAATGAGCCTCCTGCCCAAAGGCACTGAGCTTCCTTGCTCTGTGGGCCAAGAGGCCTACCACTCTGTCTCCTGATTTTGTTGTTCATGCCTTTGCTGCCAACACTTTTCTCCTCTGTTTCTATTTCATAGCTCTCTGTCTGATGGATAAAGGAGGTACACAGAGATTTCAGCACACCAGGATTTCAGGGTCAAAGAACACTTCTCACTCCTGATTCTTCTTTCCTGCTAGTAGTGAGATCCCTCTTTCTGCTTCTGAAATGGCTCATTTTTAACCCAGACTGATGCCAACTGACCAACCCTTCCTTAAAGTTCCAAGTTTCTTAACAATCATAATTAACCTTATTAACAATCACTCACAACTGACTCATACAATCCTATCCACATCTTCCTTCTATTAAGGAGATCCCGTAGGAAAAGAAATAGACTCAGTCTTCATGGATCTACTCAATACTCACTCATTTGGTGAGAGTTGCACAGTGACCAAAGAGCCATATCAAATAATTCACTGCATGATAGCTCATGTGTTTTTGCATTATCTTGACACCTTTGTCAAAGATCCACTGATCTTGTCTTCCTGATATTTTGTTTCCATGGCTAGACATTCCATTGGTCCTTTAACTTTTTGGAGGCAGTTGTATAACAACTTAGTTTGTTAATCAACTGTTAATTTTCATCCACATTGACTGTAGGGATTTTAATAAAAATAATAACATATGTAACCAATGAACAGATTTTGTTCAATCTTCATCCTCATTACATTTTCTGAACAACTGTGCATGGATACAGTATGGGACATTCCTTATTTCCTTGGCCCAGGCAACTTTGTTTAGTCTGATGTCAATACACACATCTGGCATTCTTATTTCCCTCATGGCAAATTTCCAGGTCTCCTTGAGTATCCTTTTGAAGCCCACTCTATGGAAAGGCTCATGGATGTTGACGGTGCGCTCTCTGGATACCACCTCAGCGGTATTGAGATGACTTTTCTTCATCTCACTACTCTTCTTTTCAAGAACCGTTGTGTTGGGGTCAGATTGGAAAGGAAGAGCTCAATGGATTGTCCTTGCTGATTCTTCAAGATGTGTGTATCTGTGGTGTATCTTTCCATTTCTGGAGCACATCTATTTGAAAGTTCTTGTCTGCTAGGTGTCTCATCACTAGAATTTCTGGATCTGTTTCTTTTGCTTAATTTTCTTCTTCATATGGGTCCTATTTTCCTGCTTCTTTTCATTTCTCATTGTTGTCTATTGAGGCTATTGGTTTGTCAATTGCCTGGATTTTGTTTTCTTCCTTTAAAAAAAGCTGTATATCAGCTTGGTTTTTTTCAAATAATGTGTTAGTTTGGGTTCTCTAGAGGAGCAAAACTAGTGAAGTGTTTATATCAAGAGGTTTTTTTCAAGAGGTTTATATCAAGAAGCAGCTCACAGAGTTGTAGAAGTAGGTAAAACCAGTCTGGTTCAAGTCAAGTTCCTCCCGACTCATGTAGCTATGGAAACGGATGAACTGGAAGCGGCCGACAAAAAGAGGTGAAGGGGGCACAGGCTGGTAGATGCAGAGGTAAACAAATCTGAAGTTAGCCAAATGAATCCACCATTGGTGGTCCACTGATAGCTCCTAGGATCAGCAAGTGATGTCACAGGAGATTGAGGAACCAGACACAAGATCCAGTTCCAACAGAAGGCAAAGGGCCAAAGAAAATTCGGCTCTACTTGGCCTCTCCCTCATACAAAAAGCCACACCCCCAAAGAGGTGTCATTGAACTATAACCTGATTGATTGGTTGGCTCCACCATTACCCCTACCCAGGAGTGTCTGATTGATATAATCCGTAATCATCACAGATTGTTATGGAGCTTTGTTTGGGTGAATTCAGAAAAGCCTTTATTCTAGAACTTGATTAACCTGCTACAAAGGCATGGTTTTTCTTCAGTCTCTTGTGAATGTCGAATGGCTGAATCCTGTTTACAAGTCCTCACTAGTCTTTTATTTGGTTTGGTGGAATTGCATCCTACATCCAGATTTAGTATTCAGCAACAGATTCTCTTCTTCAGGTCAAGTTCTGTGGTGACTCAAATTTCAGATATCCAGTTTTTCCAACCGCCAAATCTCTGCATTTTTAACTCATTAAAACCATCATGCTCTTCATGGTTTCCCCTTTCTTTGCTGCCTCCAGGAAGAACGAAAGGCAACAGTAGGGCTTTCTTTCCTTCTCTCTCTCTCTCTCCCTCCTATATCACACCTCACCCAGTCCTGTCCAATGTTTAAGCATACTGGTTCATGTATTTTGTGAGTTTTTCTAATTGCTTACATTGAGAGTGCATGCCCAATACTAGCTCTTCCAACACAGAAAAAAAGTGGAAGTTCTCTTTGATGTTTGATCCTTCAGGTAATATAACATAAGACAGATTTAGGAGTTCCCTAGAGGCCCCTAGGGAGACTTGAATGAATTTCTCATTCCCTTTAAAAATATCTACTTTCCCCTAAAGCTTTTAAAAATAAGAGCTCATCTAGAATGTGTTCTCCAGATAGAACACCTGTATCATCAGGCTCTTCTTTATTTCAGATGCCTCTTATTTTTATGCCATCATTTTCTATTGTCTTCTACATTAGCAAAATTCACAGCAAAAATGAGATATCTATC